AAACTTTTATTTGTGATGACAACCGATAGGTCACAAGAACAGTCACTGGAAGTGTGAGGCATAAATCTGGAAATGCCATGTTTTTCACACGGTTGGAAATCCACATTTACGCACCGGAACTGAAAACACAAAATGTCGTTTATCAAGCTGCGTTACATTGGAAAAATGTTAACAAATGTTAATAAACGATATTCAACACAAAGAAATTAAATTTTTTTTTCAAAAACATAGCTTCACGCAGGACAATGTCTGTGGGGTAATATTTATAATTGGAATATACTGGAAATCGATTAATACTCGTTCTAGTTGAAAAATGTTGACTTTAGAGTTACGTTATTTTTTTAAATTGACTTATTCTAATAAAGCTTTCTATCATCTTAAAAGACATTATTTTATTTGGATATATTTATTGTTGGCTTGACCCAATAGCAATGTTGACATTTACAGGCCTATTCTCACTGTTACCGGTAAAGTAAATTTTGTTACTGTGATCTCAGGATACGAAATGGTGACAAAATTTACTGAATGGTAAATTTTAATACCTAGGTAAATTTTGTTACCTCGACAGAATAGGCCTGTTAATAATGCTGTTAAAAAATTTGGCAATTCTTGTTTAGGTTTTTAGACTTATTTAATTAAGTTCGATATATTACAATGTCTAAGTGGAGTTACTTTCATCTTTAACATTAATGGCGTCTTTAACTCTACAAACGTCTGTATTTATTTCCTCACTTAATAGTCTTACGCTGTTTTTAAATTTGATATTACCTATTTCTAAAATTAGAGTTGACTCTGGTGTGTGTTCTCCAAATTCATTGTCGTCCAGACTTTTGGTTTTTCTCGCTTGGCCACATCTAGTGCACCTCTTCTGTTCGTATAATTAATATATATTTAATTGGCTTTTTATTACGTATTGATGTTTTTCCAACACATGGAAGGATCTATAGTTTATACCGATTCGCCTCCGAACGGCTGATGATTTTTTAATAGGGACGCTTTTTTTAATGTGAGAAATATACTAGGAGGAGTAGACATTCCTGCCGAGGGGCGACCTCAATTACAAAATTTGACTTAATTTATTATTTATAATAATTTTCTAAAAATATTGGATGTTTGTCGAACCAGGCCGAATTGGATACAAAATGATTTGACGTCTTACGTGGTATGATATGATGCCATGCATACAAAAGACAAAGCCAAATAATTTCAGTAACAATCGAACGGCTGAATGAGTTGAATACTTTGTACAGCAAGTTCTCGTGTTTCTACTTCCATTGTACTGTTCACTTCGCTTATTTTGATCGAGTTCAATAATGTTCTTAGTCCGATTCTTCCATAAACTATTGTTTTTGTACTTAGGCTGAATTACGGCGCTGTACAATTTTCCTCTTCACATGCTAACCTCAGTATGGGGCATTTAGTAGTATACTACTTAAAATTGTTTTTTATGTACATATCGCTTTACACGCGTTACGCGGAATTTTCTAAAGTTCAGTGTTTTTATTTGTGATTTAAAATCTTTTTAAATTCCAATTATTTGTTTATTTTTTGGCGTATATAAATCCAATTTTGCCTAAGTGATTTAAAATATTTTAGCTATGACCACTTTCCAAAATAACGATAACATATTAAAGGTGGTGCTTCGTCAGTATTTCCATTTCCCCTTTTACCCGAAGTTAAATTGGAAATTCCCAAATTTCTTGTTGTTGAGTCTACTGATTCAGCTAAGCCCCTCTCTAGTTTCTCCTTTTGCTATTCATCGAGCTATTCGATTAATAAGCAATGATATTCACCAAATATCCACCCCTCGCGATTCAAAAAACAAGCAAAACAATTACCAAACATATGTGATAATATGACGCCTCAATCAGTTGAAAGGTAGGCTCTATTTTTTTAGTAAAATATATAAATATGAAAAACGTTGATGGTGACTTGAAAGATTATGGTGTAGTTCTGCTTACTATTGATCTCTACAAAGTTCCGAGCAAGATTCACATTGCCTGGTCTGCATTCACTGTTATAGAATATTTCCCATCTCCAATGCGTTGCAAATCTTGCAAAATACTTGGAAGCACAGCTTACCGTTGTAAAGGTTTTCCGCTTGCCATCCATTCTCCATCAAAATGCATTCGTACACAATGTGTCAATAGCAAGGATGATCATCCATCGTCATCCAGAGATTGCATAAAATTTATTCGAAAATTAGAACAACAAACAAATGCTTAATGCGCGAAGCAATAAAAACTTACAGAGAGTCAGTATTTCCAATAACAAAGAAAATCACTTACGCTGACGCGCGGGCTATATCATTCCCATTTGAACAATCAAAATCTACCCCAATACCAACAAGTAATGACAAAATTTTTACAGATACAAGTAACTTAAAAAACTTAAAAACTTCTTTTGTTAGTTCTCATTCACATACTACAGATCTTCCGTCTTAGAGTCTAATATACGATTTTTTTCCTCCCTCTCATCTATCTGACTCTCCCAATTCGGCAAATTTCTTTCCAATACTCTCACCTATACTTGACACTTCCGCATCTTTATCTGCACGTCTTTTTGTTTCATTTCCTAAAGGAGTCGTTCAAATGTGTGCAAACACACTGGCAGCTGGCAACAGTTCGCCGCTCTCGGCACCGTCGATAACTCGTGTATGTATCTCGCCTTGACGTCGCCAGTTATGGGCGGCTGGACTGGTATATGTGCAAACATGCATACATATAAACTGCATCCTATCCCAGCAGTAAACACTTTTGGGTAACTTTATACGCTAGTGGTCCTCTACTACACCGATTTCCACGTAAAACTAGCCACCCGAAACTAATTTCTAACTTGTTTAAAAACAAACAATATTGATTAAGACGATTTAAATAAATTTAAATTATATAAAATTATACAATGCCGAAAAATCAAAGCCCTCGGCTTCTTGCCATTAAGCAGCTGAAAGCAAAATGAAACATCAAGCCTAAAAATGCAAACCACACTACCCGTGTGGGCAAATATTTGGTATTTACAAATGATATCTTAATAAGATACTGTGCCAGATTTTCCTCTTCCCTTATAGAGGAATTTTCAGAAAATTTTCTGAAAATTAAATGTAATTCTCTTGACGATTTCTATAAACGTGTTCAAGACGCATACGATGTCTTATTCCAAAGAGACAAAGAAGACCTCCCGGCGAATTTTCTTGTTCTGGCGGAAGGAAAGTATCAATTTAGCATTGATATTTATGAAAACACTAAAGCAAAAATTGCATAGCAACTAAAGTTAATTAGTGCAGTGAATCGAACCCAGACCCAAAATAGTTGAACAACCGGAAATATATCTCCAACTTCCTCCATGTCGCACTGAAACCTTTTATGGTGGATACGATGAGTGGCCGTCTTCACGAGACATGTTCAATAACGTATATATAAACCACACCCTGTTATCTCCAGCTCAAAAGTTATAACCACTCCGGTATAAGACAAGAGGCCAAGCAGGAGACATATTTAACGATTTGCTTTAACTAAAAACAATTTCCAATTGGCGTGGGATGCTCTCCACTCCCGATATAAAAACAAGCGCCAAATAGTCGACAATCAGGTCACAAAATTATTGAACTTACCACTTACTTTTTCAATCTTCGAAGCACTTGAAAAAATCATTTTTTTTTATCTTGTTCAGCTCCTCCTTCGATGCCGTCTTTATCTCGTCAATCGTAGAGTAACGTCGTCCTTTCATGGGCCTCTTCAGTTTAGGGAACAAGAAAAAGTCACAGGGGGCCAGACCTGGGGTATACGGTGGCGGCGGCATCATTAGTGTGTTGTTTTTGGCCAAAAAGTAGCGCACAAGCAACGATGTGAGAGCAGGGGCGTTATCGTGGTGCAAAAGCCAAATTTTGTTCCTCCACAAATCCGGGCGTTTCTGACGGATTGCTTCGCGCAAATTGCGCATAACTTTCAGTTAATATTCCTTATGGACAGTTCTACCCTGTGGCAAGAACTCATGATCCACCACGCCCCTGTAATCGAAGAAAACTGTCAGCAAAACTTTCATTAAAAATTAATCCAAGACCATCCAAAACACGTGCAAGCAAAGCAGCTGTCAACAGTTAAGTAAACATTCAAAATGGTCGAGCTTGTCGGCATAAGTGACTGACATGAGTACCAACATACCGCCACAAAAAAATCGAAATTCGATAATACGTAACCTGCGAAAATTCAAAATTCGTGATACTTTTTGAACACACCTCGTACATGCTTGCACTTCCAGAAGATGCATAACACTCTTTTGCACATGTGGCCAGCTCATGGGTTTGACCGAAGGAATAAAAGAAATGTGCCCTTGCTCTCCCCGTGTCAAGATAAACACAAATAGGCACACTTGACCACCCCGAGTCAAGACACACAGAGAAATGCTAATTTTACCTCTCCGAGTCAAAAGATACAGAAAACTGTGATGATCACCCCAGATCTACAAGTCCCGTTGAACCGGCTCTTATTTAATTAAATTAAAAATTAAGAAAACGCACATTCCGCTGCATAACACTTCCGACTTTTTGTCGCCAGGAAATGGACAACCAAATCGGATCACAGCTTCCAGTTCAAAGAAAACCTGCCAAAGCCCAAAAAATGAACGCAGCAGCAGCAGAAGTAGCGCGAAGAACCACCGAGGGAACCAATACTGCACACGACCCCTACATATTCGACGGGCTTAATTCAGCACTTCGTTCAGAGTGGCCCAGTATGTTTAAGCGTCCGCCTTCCTAATATTTTGGACACACCCTAATGCGCCTTTGGCCTTTATTAGCCGTGCTTGCCAAACAAACAAGCGAAATTTGTATGGAACTATCGGCGAGCGCGCACGGGGCGACAGTATTTCAAATACAATAAAATAATATATAAATGTCATAAAATACATAAATAGCAAATACAACAGATACATATATTTTTTGTAACTAATTACAACAAACAGTTATACACAAAGTGCAATTTATAAATACTATATTAATTGATCTAAAATAAAAAATGTACACAACTCAAATCGAATCCGCTAGTGACTTTTTATTTCGCAAGAACTCGAAGAGGTACCTCGCGTGAATAGTAACTTTGAATAATTTTGTGAAATTTCATAATCCGGTTCAGTATTCATCCTAAAACTTTGTTGAATACGTGGATGAAAAGTCTCATCGGTAGAAGGACAAAGGAGATAATTTGATACGTCATTGCATAAGAGTCAGGTATTGTCCACCGGGAAAGCAAGACGAAGTGCGTATAATCCAAGAGATCTTCTTAAATAAATAATATCCATTCGCTAAAAAATAAGAAATCAGACATACGCTTTTAGTTTAAATAAAAAATGTATTATAATACTTGAAATCAATTTAATTCACTTTAATTTAATTTAATTAACATGAATTCATGGCCTTTTTATCTTAGGTTTTTACCATTCAAGATATATTTAATATGACATCTAGAGGAGATGAATTAAGTACATAAAACAAAGAGCAGGAAACAAAATCTGCTTGCAGTGATCTGTGTACAATAATAAATTAGCCTTATCGCCAACACCGCGTGAGCAAATGTTTTCATAAGATACTACTCAAAACAACTACAAATTTGAATTTATAGGAATCCTCTCAAAAATTGTACGATATATCGTATAGAGTTTACAAAGGTAGTAAAAGCCATGGTATATTTGCGTTAGTTATTTCTTCGTATTTTTGGAAATTAATTAGGGTTAGCAACTCAAAACTTCAAATATTTTCTCTAATATATTTTTAAGTGCATGTAATAAACAACTTTGATTTAAAATTCATTGAATAAAATTTAAAACGATAAATTAAATTTGTAGTTGTATGATTATATTCCTCTGTGATAAAATTTCCAGCTCGTTATATGAATTAAAAATATTGTGCGAAATACAGATTAGGCCCAGTTTTGGTCAATCTTTTCTATGTATGAAGAACTTTCGCGGAAGAAACCCTTGCCAGCGTCTTTTTATTATTATTTTCCTTGAACAATGCAAATGATGAAAAAGACCATCAGAAAAATTGTTTAAAGTATTCGTAAAGCTCCAAAATATGATTGTTGAGAATCCTATCGCTTCCAATTACCTTCCGTTTTATGCGGGAATTCATAAATATGATGAGGAACGAGTAACATGACATATCATCAAAATTGTCTTTGTTATTAATTATGCCTAACTTTATACATATACCTATATCGTACACTTTTTTGATAAAGCGTTTTTTTTTTTCAAAAACACAATTTGTAATGATTATATTTTTCTAATAATATAATATCCTTTAATTAAATAATTCTGCTTCAATATGTAGAATACCTTTTCGCCAAAAATTTAAAAGAATAAGTTGTTGAGACCACCTCAAAGAAACTGAAAGTTTATCAAACGGAGCTACAAAGAATTATTATTATTTTTCTATATTTTAAATGAAACAAAAAAGTATAAATTTTCTTACGTTTTCAATAGTCTATTAAATATACTGCTCATACGTGAAATGAATAATTTTACACAGAATACTTAACTTATCGAAGAGCTCCTGGAATTCTGATCGCGTAAGTAACTATTTTTGTAGTTCTGATTTAAAAATTGTATGAATTGTTCTTCTATTGTTAACAAATTTCAATAAACAGCTGATAGTTTAATTCAGAATGCTGCCAGACTTTGCCTTGACATATAATATTTTTATATTGTTAGCATTGATTCTGCGCAGACTTTGAAAAGCGAAAACATAAATTAAATTAAACAAATATTTAAATAGATCAGAAACATTTTTAATAAGAAACACTGCTTAAAGCTTAATTGCGGTTTTTCACCATTCTATACCATTCAGCTGTTTTCAAATATCCGATATATTATCTAAATTAAGCAACTAAACACGCAGCACCTTGTGAACGGTTCTTTTAGTATTAAGTATTTGTATATGTATTTATATATACTCGTATATACTAGCTGTAGCCTACAACGCTTCGCTGTCGCACATACTCTTTGAATGTATGAAAAATTAATCACAGAATTGTTGTACTCCCACAAGTACAGCTAGTATATATATATATATATATATGGTTATATATATATATATTGTTACGATTTTACTAAATCAACCTCGATTATTTTCTAGATCCTTCGGGTACGATCTCTGGATTGTTAAATAAAAANAACTTAATTTACATGAATTCATGGCCTTTTTATTTTAAGTTTTTACCATTCAAGATATATTTAATATGGCATCTAGAGGAGATTAATTAAGTACATAAAACAAATAGCGGGAATCAAAATCTGCTTGCAGTGATCTGTGTACAATAATAAATTAGCCTTATCGCCAACTCCGCGTGAGCAGATGTTTTTATAAAATACAACTCAAAACAATAACAAATTTGCCAATTTTTATTTATAGGAATAATTTGTTCACGCGGAGCTAGGCAAATTGAATATTCTATATATAAAATTCGTATGTATGCATGGAAAAGTCCAGTACTTCCCAAAAATCTCCAAAAGTAACTGACCGAATGACTCGAAATTTCATCAGTTTGTTTTTATGATACCTGGACCAGGGACTGACCTATTCGAAAAAAAACTTATTTATGGTTCGATTTACTTGAAATTCACTATTCAAATAGCCGGTATGTAACAAAAAACATATGAACATCATTGGTGAAACGATTGACACATCTGTAGCTGAAGACCTGACAACTCCAGGTATGTCAAATCCGATTGTACAACACCAATCCCCCTTCCATTTTACTCTTACGTCCTGTCGTTTGAGGTGTAGCTTTCGTGTTTGTGCAACGGGAGTTGCTCCTAAAAATCCCCACCAAATGAATTTCCACTCTCTTCTAGTTGTTAATAACTACCGTGAGGACTGATTGTAGAAAAACAAAAATATTTTTGTAAGTTATAAATTTGTGCTAGGAGTTAGTAGTAGTAGTAGTAGTAGTTCAAATCATACTTTGAATTGTTTATTTCCACATCTTTCAGGAACCCTTTGTTAATGTTTCTATGTTAGTGGTGGAAAAAATTATATTGACACATTTTGTTTCCTTCCAGTACTGAATAATCTAAAAATTAAAAAAAAATTTCATAATTCGGTAAGGTTTTACATCCTCTCAAAAATTGTACGAAATATCGTACAGAGTTTACAAAGGTAGTAAAAGCCATGGTATATTTGCGTTAGTTATTTCTTCGTATTTTTGTAAATTAACAATATGTTTAATTCTAATTGCTGAAGCGAATTTCAGCTTTTGTGGCGTTGATGTAAAATAATATATAGAAATATTTTTCTATCGCTACTACCCAGATGCAAATAATGTACATCTAGGCACATACGTACATACATATGTGCATGCCTATATATATATACAAGTTTATGTGCCCACTTGAGTGCAAGGTCGGTAAGGAAAAAACGAGCAAAACCGGGACGTCAAACACAAAGCTAAACTTGTTCCGAAAGTAGTCGCATATGTATCGGTGTTATCATAATTATGATTATTGTTGCTGTCAATTTCAAGTTGCTCTGGTCTATAATTTCTGTTATATGTATTGATATCATTGTCTTACGCTGGCAAGGTTGACCCTTTAACATTATTTTGCTCCGGTCTCTCAGTTACTCCTATCATTTTAGTTGCCGTCGCCAATAGAGCAGGCGATTCGATTGTTCTCGTGGACTGTGCATACGTTTGCATATGGGTTTTGGCTTGCGTTTTTGTTTCAAAGGTGTTGCTATCTTTTTTGCCACTTCTGTATCAATTTCCCATTCCGTTGTGTTACGGTTTTCATCACGGTTGCTGTTCGAGTTCTGGTCTTAAGCAGAATCATCTTTTGTAGTACCTCTGTAGCAGTTGTTGCTAGTACGGTACTGCTAATTGTAGTTACAGGTATCAATTGTGTTCTTGTCATGTACTTTGTTGTCAATAGCAATATACGTTTATTAAGAGGTGATCCATGGTGCTGCTTCTCCTCCTGTTCAGTAATTGAGCTGGAAACTACGGCTTCCTCGGATGACTCTAAAAGTGGCTTACTGGTTAAACTCATTTTATTGAGATCGTTAATTATATTTGACGTTTTGACTTTTACTTCTTGCATCGTAGGCAACACTTNGTTCAAATCATACTTTGAATTGTTTATTTCCACATCTTTCAGGAACCCTTTGTTAATGTTTCTATGTTAGTGGTGGAAAAAATTATATTGACACATTTTGTTTCCTTCCAGTACTGAATAATCTAAAAATTAAAAAAAAATTTCATAATTCGGTAAGGTTTTACATCCTCTCAAAAATTGTACGAAATATCGTACAGAGTTTACAAAGGTAGTAAAAGCCATGGTATATTTGCGTTAGTTATTTCTTCGTATTTTTGTAAATTAATTAGGGTTAGCAACACTAAACTTCAAATATTTTCTCTAATATATTTTCAAGTGCATGTAATAAAAAAATTTGATAAAAAATTTATTGAATAAAATGTAAAACGATAAATTAAATTTGTAGTTGTATGATTATATTCCTCTGTGATAAAATTTCCAGCTCGTTATATGAATTGAAAATATTGTGCGAAATACAGATTATGCCCCGTTTTGGTCAATCTTTTCCATGTATGAAGAACTTCCGCGGAAGAAACCCTTGCCAGCGTCTTTTTATTATTATTTTCCTTAAACAATGCAAATTACGAAAAAGACCATCAGAAAAATTGTTTAAACTATTCGTAAAGCTCCAAAATATGATTGTTGAGAGTCCTATCGCTTTCAATTATTTTCCGTTTCTTGTGGGAATTCATAAATTTGATGAGGAACGAGTAACATGTCAAAAATCAAAATTGTCTTTGTTATTAAAAGATTTTACATATATCAAATTCATGTTTTCTTTTTATTAAACAGAAGAGTTGATATGTGTTATCTCATCAATAATTACCTTTTCATTCAAATAAAGTTCACCAATAAACGGTTCAATAACTGACTTCGTTTTTATGGTCTAAAGTTTTGCTGTGTTTATATTAACGAAAACGATTGCTTTCCACTTTGCTTTTAAAATTTTTAGTTTAAATTTGAGGCAAACATAACGTATTGATCGCTGCAACCGTTTGTAACTTTTGTGCGATTTATCTACCAAATAGATTTTGTGCGCTAAATCATACATTTGAGCTGCCTAACTTTATACAAATACATATATCGTACACTTTTTTGATAAGGCGTTTTTTTTTCATAAACACAATTTTTAATGATTACATTTTTCTAATAATATAATATCCTTTAATTAAATAATTCTGCTTCAATATGTAGAATACCTTTTCGCCAAAAATTTAAAAGAATAAGTTTTTGAGACCACCTCAAAGAAACTGAAAGTTTATCAAACGGAGCTTACAAAGAATTATTATTATTTTTCTATATTTCAAATGAAACAAAAAAGTATAAATTTTCTTGCGTTTTTAATAGTCTACACCATTTCCAAAAGCATTTCCTTTTAATTTCAATATAAAATTCATCACGTGCGCTAGCGTCCTTTTAACTTTTCAGCTAAAAAAATAATCATACAAATGCACTGTTCATACGTGGAATGAATAATTTTACCCAGAATACTTAACTTATTGAAGAGCACCTGAAATTCTGATCGCGTAAATAACTATTTTTGTAGTTTTGATTTACAAATTACATGAAAATTTCAATAAACAGCTGATAGTTTAATTCAGAAAGCTGCCAGACTTTGCCTTGACATATAATATTTTTATACTTTGAAAAGATAAAAATTTAATTAATTTAAACATATATTTAAATAGATCAGTATTTTTAATAAGAAACTTAATATTGTACACTGCTTAAAGCTTAATTGCGGTTTTTCATCATTCTATACCACTCAGCTGTTTTCAAATATCCGATATATTATCTAAATTAAGCAAAATGACTAAACAAGCAGCACCTTGTGAACGGCTCTTTTACAGGCCTATTCTGTCGATGTTTACCTAGGTATTAAAATTTACTATTCAGGAATTTTGTTACCATTTCATATTCTGTGTTCACTGTTACCCTGTAAATTTTGTGACTAGAGAAATAGAAGGTAACAAAAATATCTGCTGTTTTATTTTGTGTTGTTAGTTTCAGAAAAAATAGAAACCAAAATGGGTAGGCATATTTTAGACCTGGAATTCATTAAAGATGAAGAAAAAAGTGCAAAAAGCCGTATTATAAGAAGTTTTCGAGACAAAAAATAGCCCTTAATTGTGTGAGATAACGTTTTCATTCAGCTTTTTTTTCCATAATTAGGTTCAAATATATATGATTGAATAAACAAATTAATAAATCTTTTTAAAATTTTTGTGCACCGTTCTCCATTTCGATGTGCATATTTTTCTTTTTACTTTACCAACTGGCAAATGCAATTTGACTCGTATATACTAGCTGTAGCCTACAACGCTTCGCTGTCGCACATACTCTTTGAATGTATGAAAAGTTAATCATGGGATAACATTTTATATTAACTATATTTGTTCAAAACTCGTGGGAATGCAACATTTTTGGTTTTACCATTGGCAATGGTGCGATTCCCGGAGAGAGGAATAGTTCGACTCTTTGAATAGACCAGTCCCTGGTCCACTTCTCGTAGAGAAGAGTAGGTTTTTAGATGTACATGGCACAGCTTATTTGCAATTCGATACAGGTGGCCTTTTCCTTATATTAACAGGAAGCCCCGCGAAGTGAACCATGGACTAACCTATTAAAAAAATGTTTTTATGGTTCTATTGACTTGAAATTCTTTGAATAGGTGGCTTTTTGGTTAGATGAGCAGGAAAACTACTATTCTTCTCTCCCTGATTAGGACCAATGTCATAGTAAAACCAGAAATGTTGTACTCCCACAAGTACAGCTAGTATATATTGTATATATATGTATATGATTTTATATATATATATATATATGTATTATGCTAATTGCTGAAGCGAATTTTAGCTTTTGTGGCGTTAATGTTTTTCCAACAGGTGGAATAATATATTCAAAAATTTTTCTATCACTACTACCCAGATGCAAATATGTACATCTAGGCATATACGTACATACATATGTACATGCATATGTATACATATGTATGTGGCCACTTACGTGTACAAGGACGGTCGGGAAACATGCGCGCAAAACCGGGACGGCAAATACAAAGCCAACCTTGTTCCAAAAGTGCACAAACTTCGCTGCGTGTCGTTTTACATTTGGGCTGACATGTCATGTTGTTAGCATGATTTCCACGCTCGTGAATGTTTACTTTTGGTAGTGTATCTATAAGTTTACCGCCGAGAAGTATCTGACTTGTAGTTCTGTCTAAGTCAAGCGACGTAGCTATGAGCTCTTCATCACGCGTCGGCATGTTAAGCATTGACATAGTGTCATCATAGTCGAGTTTAATTGTAGTCGCATTTGTACCGGTGTCATCAATACCGCTTTCACTTTGTGGGGAATCACTCGTTGATTTACCTTTACCACCATTATGTGAGTTTCCCATTACAATGAAAATATTATTATGTTGTGACTCCATATTGGAATAGTTTGGACTGCCCGGTAATATTGCGGGTAGCGTGGACTTATTTTCTGCTGCAATTGGGGAATATCCATTGTCTATATTATACTTGTTATCTATACGTTTATTGTTTTCGTTTTCGTTATGGTTATTATTGCTGTCAATTTCAAGTTGCTCTCGTCTATAATATCTGTTATATGCATTGATTTCATTGTCTGATGATGGCAATGTTGGTCCTTTAACATTATTTTGCTCCGGTCTCTCAGTTACTCCTATCATTTTAGTTGCCGTCGCCAATAGAGCAGGCGATTCGATTGTTCTCGTGGACTGTGCATACGTTTGCATATGGGTTTTGGCTTGCGTTTTTGTTTCAAAGGTGTTGCTATCTTTTTTGCCACTTCTGTATCAATTTCCCATTCCGTTGTGTTACGGTTTTCATCACGGTTGCTGTTCGAGTTCTGGTCTTAAGCAGAATCATCTTTTGTAGTACCTCTGTAGCAGTTGTTGCTAGTACGGTACTGCTAATTGTAGTTACAGGTATCAATTGTGTTCTTGTCATGTACTTTGTTGTCAATAGCAATATACGTTTATTAAGAGGTGATCCATGGTGCTGCTTCTCCTCCTGTTCAGTAATTGAGCTGGAAACTACGGCTTCCTCGGATGACTCTAAAAGTGGCTTACTGGTTAAACTCATTTTATTGAGATCGTTAATTATATTTGACGTTTTGACTTTTACTTCTTGCATCGTAGGCAACACTTCTTTACGCACATAAGAGTCTTGTTTTTGTAGTAGTTTTCCAAGGGCCATTGTATTAATGTGATCTGAATAACTTTCCGACAAAGCTATTTCCCTGTTGGCAGGCTGTTCAACATGGTTGGTTTCTATATTAAAATTGATTTGTGACTGAGTTTCAATCTCCACAGGTACGTTTACCTCCGTTGGCCTAACGATATGCTTGGTAGCTTCCGGACGCATGAAGTAACTTTTGTGAATAGATACAGGTTTTTGACGTGGAGAATACACGTAACGGTTTTGCAAAGTTACCGCAGTAAGTTTTTCGTATAGTTTTGCAAACTGTGCTGGCGAAGGTTGTACAACAGAATGTATATGCTTTGCTAGTGACATTGATATGATGTTATCAGTTTTAAAAGTTGTTCCTTTTTCAAAATTTAGTGCATTTGCGCTCTCATACGAAGGGAGTATCTGTTTGAAGGTTTGGTTGTGCGTCTGTGACTTGAGCTTTAAATTTTCTGCAGGCTCTGCAGTCCTTATTTCTCTTATTGTTGTACTCACTGTTAAAAGTTGCACCCCATGGTTTTGATTTTTCCGTCTTTTGCTTGCTGTTTTATTATTGATGGACTGTAGGTAAGGTGTTGTGCTTCCTTGAGATAGACTCAAGTGGTTGTTGCCAGTAGAACCTATTAATGAAATTGTTGCTTTCTCCTCGATTTCGAGTTCACTATTTTTTATGTAGCTGATTTTTAGCGTTGTTTTCGTGGACGAATGTGTTTGCTGCTGAACATTTATTGCCGCGTTCACCATGACTTCACTATCTGGCCTTGCAAATCTTGACTTGAAACCGTCGCCTGTCGCAGCATATAATAGTGCATTTTTTTTTGATTTTTCTATTGTTGCGAGCGCTGTTAACATCCGTGTAGTAAATTTATAATCATATATAAGTTTATCTTGCGAACCATTTTCGGTTATCACAATGGAAGCCGATTTATTCACTGTTGCGGGATCATTGACTTCTTTTACGGCGTTTGCCGAGAGGAGTGGTTGTAATATATGTTGCTGTTGATTTTTCAGCCTCTGAGGAAACGGACTGAATGAAATCGTTTGTTTGTTGAACTTCTGTTGCTGCAGTTGTTGTTTTCTTTGTATTCCTCGAAGAATATTATTCGTGACCGAAGCTGCATTTTGATTACTTTGCAATTCGTTGTCAAATCCGTTACATCTGACCTCAGCTTTCTTGACAATAATATTAGTATTGGCCGTCAACTTTGGCGCGTTCTTATCTAGGTTTTCTTTATAGTCGCTTAAAGTGCTTTCAGCATTATATAGTTTGTTTATTATATATTCATGATTATATTGAAAAAATGTTTTATTGTATTCGCCTCCAGTATTATAAACAGGGTAATATTCATCTCTGATATCTTCTTTATCATATGCTTCATACAATTTCGCAGCGTCGTTTGTATTTACCATGTGATTGTCAGCATCGGCAAATGGTGGCGCGTACTGTTGATGATGTAGTGAAGTTCGAAACGCGGTCTCTGATCCTGTTGGTATAAGTATACGTTGGTAAGTATTAACATGCCTATTCCTATCGTTATTTTTGCCGCGTTTGAAATATTTGTTATTTTCTTGCTGTAGTTGCTTAAGACATGGCGCAGTGGATTTTTTTTGTATACTTAGTCGCAGAAGTCCTGTCTGCCGCTGCTGATGTTGCTGGTGTTGACTGGCCACATCCATTTGTACAGTGTTGTCTAGAGAAAATGAGCCGTCAATAGTACCAGCGGGATTTTCGAAATGAATTACCTCGGCGTTTTTTGTGCCTTTTCTATTATTAGTCAAAACATTGGGCTTACCTATATTCCTGATCACATTTTGTGGGGTCAAATAAACTTGCACTTCTTCCTTATTGTGCGGAATTTTTATATGAGGCATATGGGAGATTCCATAGGGCAAATGTTGCACTGTTCCCTCAATGACATTCGGTATTTGTCCATGCACTGCAATCGCCTGCGTTGGATACTCCATCTCTTTTTTGAATGTCAGCGGAGGTGCGTGCATATTTACATTGTGATTAAAGACGTTTGTATGCAAATTAATATTTTGAGCGTGTGTAGGCATACCAGGCACAGGAACTGTTCTGGGCGCTTGTGTAATACGTCCCGATATTCTTTGGGTGGCGTTTAAAACAGAATATGAATAGGGCCTCAAAATAATAGCTTGTGATTCTTGGAACTGTTGCGGCTGGTTTTCTTGTGGTTGAAACTTTGAGTTTGCGTATTGCTTTTGTGCATTTGAAATTTCGCGATAGTAATTAAAATACTGTTTTGGCGTATACAACGTTAGATTATATAAATTTGTATGCTTGCTTTTTTTGTTACCAGTAATAAATTGTTCCTCCATGCTATGACTAACAGTATTATTGTTGTTCATCGGATAGTTTCCTAATGTTGGAGGGTGATTTTGCAAATAAGCTCTGACTTTATTTTTTAAGTGCGATTCATATGCTTCATATTCTGCTAGGTAAGCTCTTGTTGGCGTTATAGAATGAGTTGTTTTATGTTTATTTTTGGCGACTGATGGCAGTGCCGGTGGCGTCAATATAGACAGTGTTTGCGAGTAAGTGATGTTTATCGAGTTAGTCGATGGCGCTTCTTCTGGCCATGGTAAGGGTGTTAGTGGTGATAGCGGTTGCAGATTTAGGTCAGTTAATGAAATGGCTGATTTGAATGCTGGCGGGGGAGGCCACAACATGTTATCATATTTTTTCGTGGTTGAACGTTTATTTGGTAAGTAGTAATCTCCCAACTTCTGTTGCTGTTTTTGATGAAGGGTGTTCAATAGAAAAGTTATACCGTATTCTAGCATTGGAGTGCGCTGAACTTGTTGGTGCGTTATTCCGATTTTTTGAATACTTAAATGAGGCAATGACTTGTCGTTAAATGAAGTTAAAGCTACTTGGTGTCCTTCAAATGCAATGTATTGTTTTGGATTAATATTAGACATATTTTTCTCTACCCATTTGTATTGATGTGATTCTCCTACGTTTCCAACAAAATTCTTTTTGAGTGGCGGTAAACGTGGAAATTGTATACCATTTGGCGTGCCAATAATTATATCTGAATTAGCTGTGATGACCTCACCAGGGCTTATTGGTATACCCGCATTAATAAGCAATGTGTTAAAAGCGATTTTCCCGTCTGAGTTTTGAAATTTTTGAAAATTATGCGCTATACGATTATTATACTCTATATCCTGTTTGTATAGTTGCGGGTAAATCTCATTTGCTGTCCAATGCAGTAGCCAGTTATCTTCATCAGCATCGATAGTACCGCCGCCTTCACGAGGAGGATGTATTTGTAAGCTTTGTGCGCTACCGGCATCAAGTAGTGCAGCTGTTGCGCCTTCTGTGAATGCTGCGAATGTTGGTGTTTTACTTCCATCTTTTACGTTTATGACTATATCATTAACTGGTATATACATCGGCGTACCATGCGGCTTCAAATTGAGTGGTGGGATTTGTGAAACAGCAGCTGTAGTCAGAGATAGCGCAGGTGAGGTAGTGATGCTTTGCATCTGTGGCAATCGCTGTTGAGATTGTGGTAGATTACTGAAGCTTGCATTCTTTAAATTTTTGTATTGTAGTAGTCCTGCCGCTGCGTTTAAAACTGGCCGCAAAGCGTTTAAGTGTTGGAAGTTTATCGTATCAATTAGCTGATTTACTGCAATCGGTAAATGATTTTTGTTATTTGTATTTGTAGCGGTTGAGGTATTTACTAATTGTTGCTGCGGGCTTTGAGCTTTATCTGATATCGCCGACGCTGGTATCTCGTTGACATGCCCAAGATCATATTCGCTGTCTGGGTCAAAGCTATTTTTTTCATTATCGCTTTCAGGTAATGTTATCCCGTTAGAGTTCTTTGTTTGCTTTACTGAGGCCAGTTTAGGCACTTTAGGTGTCGTTGACTTTAAAATGAACGACGTTGATTTTACCACTGCTGTTGCCCACGTACCCTTACTCGGTTCCGTGCTCTTGACATTATAATTAAATAATGTAAGTTTGTGCTTAAACTTTGTTGGTAATATAGTCGAGGGTATGTTTTTTATGCTGTACGCAGCAATGTCAGTAATCTTTTTTTCCGAGCTTGGTGACGCTGTAGACCACAGTGTTGGCTCGAAAGTACGCTCTGCTGTTGTTTTTAGAGTTTGACCATTTAAAATGACTGGTGTTGTTATGATGGTACGTCGTTCACTTTTAAGATTCTTTAAATCTTCACGGAGCTTGGAAACCAATTCACTGTTCAACAATATAGACGGCACAGCCTCAGTGATACGTGTATGATAATTGATAATAGCGTGCTCGGTGTCTTGTAAGCCTTGTGTTTGGCCAGGACCCACATCCAAGGTGCTCTTTTGTATTGATATGTTCGTCGGCAAAATTTCATGTTTTTTATCGAAATATCCGCAGTCAGTCACGCTTGCAAGTGCTGTTTTAGAATAAATATGTGTTGTTAAAAATGTCTGCGTTGTATAAATATGCTCTCGATAATTAGTAGACGGTGCCTTTTTTGTGATAAGCTCAAAATTTTTTGTTTTTAATTCATTCTTACTAACATATTCAGAGTTATTCAAAGCGTTACTTGCTTTTACGAGCGTCGTTATTATTGGACTAAGTGACGCTAGCGATTCAGTAACAACCACTTGTGTAAGTATGTTGGTGGTAGTTGCAATAATTTCGTAATCAGTATTTTTGGAACCAGGTGATTCATTTCTAAATGTTATCTTTCTGTAATATGTATTAGTTGCGTACGCGGGCGTTGCATCTTCTGAAGGCTGAAGGAAATGTACGTTCCCATTGGACCCTGTTACTGTATTTATAATAGTTCGTTTCGATATTTGCACCAAAAAATGATCAGCATCAAGTATCGTATTGTAATAGGAATAAGTTGTAGGAAATATCTCTATTGCAAAAGAAGGCGTCTGCGAATAAGAAGTAAACAAATGTAACAGTTAATGGGAGGACTATTGATAAATATTTATATATGCCATTTTTGGGTCAAAGTTATCATTTCATAAATATCGTAAATTCAATATACTTTAATTTCTACTATTGCATGCATACACATATTACATATACGCATTGTACTCATTAACTCTATATCGCTTTATCTCTTTTGCTCAAACTTTCTTGTTCGCATAGTCTTGTATATACAAATGATTAACATTGAAAATAAATCACTCGCTAATGAATTGCTAACAGTAGAACATCGGAGTTTAATTATTTGGCCGGTCGAAACATATAATACAGTTTTGATTTTTGCATGCAAGTCACCGGTGACTGCATTTACACACCCCCAAACACTTCTTGCTACAACATTTTGGCACCCAACGTTGGGCTTGGGTGTAAATCAACTTAAAATAGACAAAACGTATACACGCATATACAGTCACTTTATCGTCTTCGCTGCTTTGTTAACAGGTCGCTGCTCTGCTCACATTGCTCTGCCTACCCTGAACGACTCTGCTCTGTCGACACTTGGAAGCTTCAGGCACCTGGCTGCTGCTGCTCTGTTGTCGCTGTGCTGCAAACTCTACGCTTCCATCGCCAATATAATTTTCGCCCATCTTGTTCTTTGCATAATCTGATTTTACTAAACGTACACGTTGTTATAGGGCTGTATACAAATTAGCTTTTTTCGTCGCTATCGTTGACCGACGATATTTATTCTCATCATTTTACATTAGGGATAGCGTGCGGTAAATCTAAAAAGAGTCATGTCACTTGAACATTTCAAACGCAAAGGTGCGAATATAAAACGCAATATATCGCGCATTATATCTATAGTTGAGGTATCAAAAGAGTCCGATGAAAAACCTTCACATGCGGAGTTACAATGTCGTCTCGAAATACTGGAGTCATTCTTTAAGCAAGCACTCTCAGTCAAGGCTGACATTGAAGATTTGGATCCGTCAGACACAGGTCGCGCAGAGAGCATAGTAATGTTACAGCCACACTATGTTTTCAAGCACAATTGGGGAGGATGGGAGCTTTACGGTTAATTACCCCGAGACCGCAGCTCTAGCTCCCGTTTCCACACAGTCTTTAGTTTTAGTTAAAGATTTCGCGGGTGCATAACAGCTTGGAAGAACTCTTTTCGCTTTATGTTCTCAAGTGAACTTCATGACCGATGAGTTCGCTTAGTCTCTTGTCCGAGAAAGGCACCTGACGGTGGCCGACGAAGCCTTTTTCAAACCTCGTCGAATCGGTCTCTTGCTTGAAACAGAGGCATATTTTGAAGCCCTCGCTATTGCTCAAATTTACCTACATTGCAAAAGACATTATTTGGCTGGGTGGTTTCTGGAAGATATTAGTCGCAGTATTATATATCTTCACAATTATGTCTGTTATTTAGCGAAAGCTCTATCAACTCCAATATGCAACGACTGTGGGAACTCGAAACTATGAACTGGCCACTCAAATTTATTCAACCTGAGCATCAGATTTATGAGCGCCACTTTAAAACCACAACACATCAAGATACCTAGGGACGCATGAATTTGACATCTCTCGTCGACGATTCCTCGCAATTGAAAGGCGTCTTTTGCATTCACCAGACATTTATTCTGAGTATACTTCGTTCAGGGAACAGTACGAACATCTTGGTCACATATCTGTAGTAAACGCGCTGAACTTAGAGGAACCACATTATTATATTCCACATCACCACGTGCTGAAACCTAACAGTGTTGGGTGTTCTCAATTCCTCAATTCAAGGACATCAACAAAATTACGAGTGGTACTCGATGCCTCGTGTCGAAGTACGACACAAACATCGCTTAACGATTGACATTTGGTTGGCCCAACAATCCAAACAGAGCTATACATGTTGCTGCTGCGCTTCCGTTTGTATCGTTACATTATTACCGCTGATGTTACCAAAATGTGCAGGCAAGAATCTTCGAATAAAAATGATCGCGAGCTTCTCCAGATGCAGATCCGTTCAAATACCAAATCAACACTATGCCATACGCCACTGCCTCAGCGCAATATCTAGCAGTACGAAGCCTTCCAGACTTCATGCAAGGCCAAACCATGCAAGAGCTCAATATTATCGATGACACCGTCACAAGTGCACTTGGGGTAGCATGGAATAAACGCAGCGACACATTGTTGTTCACATTCACTCCAAAACAAGTTCACGAAGCTGTCACAAAACGCACACTATTATCCATCGCTTCACCACTTTTCGACCCACTTGGACTGCTTTCACCACCCGTGATGACCTCCAAAATAATTATGCAAGAATTGTGGTTGCTAAAATTATAATGGAATGAGTCGGAGCCCCAGCACATAAATCAAGCATGGAAGAACTGTTTAAAATCTCTTGATTCGCTTTCGTTACTAAATTTGTCTCGCTATCGCAAGTGGACAATGGAGGCACGTGCTTTTCAAGGAGAATCAAGCAAACCTAGCTTCTCGAGGCTGCCGTGCTGCTTAGCTCAAGACTTCGATATGGTTTTCAGGCCCTGAGTCTCTGTGGGAAAATGCGCTGAAATGGAAAAAACGCAGAGTTAATATCGAGCTTGACATTCACATTGTGAACACAGAAAAAGGAAAGAAGATATTCGCTGTAGTTAAGGAGGCAAATTACCTGATCGAAGTCATTGATGGCATAAGTTCCTATCTTCCTGAAATACCCACTTTTATTACCCAGCGATTCTCAGTTTGTACTAAAGTACGATCGATACCTACATTTACGAAATTTTAACGCTTGTCCAAAGGAATTTTGGCTCCCTTATCAGATAAGAATTTTGGATTGTCACGTTACTATCCAGTGTTGTTAACGCAGTTAAAGGGGCCACTACCAGCTACACGTCTTACACCTGCACAACCAGTTCAACGTTGCGGAGTCGACTTTTGTGTGGAGATTATCACATATCGGCGAATCCAAGGAAAACCACCTATCACGCCATACTTAGCTGCTTTTATGTGCCTTGTAACGAAAGCTGGGCACATCGAGGTGGTATCCGACCTATCCACAAGCGCATTCTTGAATACTTTAAAGCGAGTGGTCGTTGCAAAATGCCTTGTGATATCTTTTGCGACAATACTACAAATTTTGTGGGCGCATCTAACCAATTAAAAGACCTCAAGCAATTTCTATTCAAAAGTGAAACGTTAAATGAAATTTATAAATATTGTTCCTCTGATTTTGTTCATTTTCATTTTAGTCTACACAGGGCACCTCATTTTGGCGGCCTCTGGGAAGCTGCGGTAAATAGCGCAAAAGGGCTACTAAATCGCACGTCGGCAAACACTAAGCTGACATTCGAGCTAAACAGCGTCGCTGTCACGACCACTATGCCAAATGTCATCAGATACTAATGACTTCGGTGCACTCACATCAGGACATTTTTCGGTCGGTCATTTATTGCGCGGCTTGCCTGAGCCACTCTAGAGCTGAAGACCGTTTCAAAAATTGATCGCTATAATATAATAACTGCAATCAAGCAAAGTTTTTGGCGTCACTGGTCTGCGGACTACGTAAACGAACTGCGAGCCCGTGTGTGGTGTTGTCCTTCACCTGACCTCAAAGAGGCCGCTTCGCACGATGACAACCTGTCACCATAACGATGGGGACTTGGTCGCTTTGAATCAACTGTGCTTGGAAGAGATGGCCATGTTCGAGTGGCGAATCTCCGAACTTCGAATGGAGCCGTTTGTAGGCTTATGTATTGGCCATTCTTCCGATTTCTTGAAAGATAGTCCTTTCAACGGCGCCGGGATGTTGGGTCACCCTAATTATATTGACATATGCTCCGGATGAAATAATGTCAAAGTTCTCATTTCATAAATATTGTAAATTCAATATACTTCAATTTCTACTATTGCATGCATACACATATTACATATACGCATTGTACTCATTAACTCTATATCGCTTTATCTCTTTTGCTCAAACTTTCTTGTTCACATAGTCTTGTATATACAAATGATTAACATTGAAAATAAATCACTCGCTAATGAATTGCTAACAGTAGAACATCGGAGTTTAATTATTCGGCCGGTCGAAACATATTGTTGCGAAAATGCGAGGCGAATGTCAGAAGAAAGGGAGAAGCCGATAACTAGTACATTCTAGAAACAATAAAACAAGAACCTTCCATAGCGAACAATTCGATGCTTCTACGCTTTCGTCTGCGAGCAGCCGACTGCTATATAAGGGCGACACTCAGCTGCAAGTCAAGTTAGTTGCAAAGAGAACTCGTTGTCGAGAACATCAGTGAAGAGTCGTAAAGTAAACGCGTTGGAGATTACATCTAAGTAAAGTAAATTGTGAAAGTTGATACTAGTGATTGTAAATAGTAAAGTGCATAATAATTGAATTGGGAATCACTGAGTAAATAAAGGACATTAGATTAATTCTTTATAACGAAAGAAACTGCAAATTAAGTTTGCGAGTTTTATTTAACAATCCAGAGATCGTACCCGAAGGATTTAGAAAATAATCGAGGTTGATTTAGTAAAATCGTAACAATATAATATAGTTCTTATTTTTGCCGTTGACCGCATTTACAAAACCCCAATCATTGTAACATATAAAAAAGCAACAGTCATATTCTGCCAAAGTAAAAATTCTCCACTCAAAAACACTATTTTCTTTTTTAAGTGCTATTATGTATTGTGGCTCAACTATATTAACTTTAAATTTATACACTTGGCATATAAAAAGACTGTTGAAATAAGTTGGTATCCACTAATTTTTCTACGTCACTCTTCTCGAACTATTGTAACATTTATTTATGAGTTCATGCGGCTGCTGGTAGCTAAGTGTGCCCCTACTTAGGCCAATATGCCTTAACCTATGTAAATTTATTTAAAATATTGGTAAACAAGTAACATACGTTGTTTTTAGTTTTTTTTTTTTAAATTGAAGGATATTGTTTCTCCAATTTATTGGGACCATTTTGAAATTCGA